AAAATAAATGCAAATTGATCTGCTGAATGCATTATGTGCCAATGCTTGGAATTCCATTCATTGTTCATTAATTATCCAGATTCCTAAATAGCGATGATGTCGTACGGACTAGTGTCCCATTACTGCACCCAAAAATGGTATTCGATCGATTTTAATACGTTCCACTAAAATATTCTCAAATATCCCGGTCCAAAAGTGTTCGATGGACGGGTTAGTTTGGGTGTGTGGGCAAATTTATATTGCTTGATTTGAAAAAGAATTTAATGGGGATATATCTGCTTTATCTTTGCAAATGGCGTGCCCTAGCACAAGCTCTGGTGCATAGACGCTTTAATCTATTACAACGTAAGTATAATTCAACATGGCCGAGGCCCGATAATTCGCATACCTCATAATATTCGATAAGAATACCTAAAATTTCGTTCAAAACTATTCCCACCCATTCCGAAGGTCAAATAAATAACCCTCGCGCCGAATCCGCGTAAATTAAAAATAATATTCGAATGCATAAAAAAATTCTCCAAACTTACGATCGGATTATTCAAATAAATAATTAATACCGCAATCGAAGGCCAAAATAGCAACATAAAACAAAGAATCGAAAATTAATACAAAATCGAATAAAATACTTAAGAAAAGGGAGACACGAAAGGTAGGACAGCGAGAAGAGAAGAAAACGCGAGAGGCAAGAACAAAAATGCAATGTTCGACATGGTAATTTATCGCCTCGGAGGCGACCTTTCGTAAATATATATTCATATACACTTTAAATATTCAAACATGTGCTTTCGAAATATTCAAAAAGATTCTTAGGAAAACAAATTTGCCCCATGGCTCAGATCATCGATAAACATTCAATCGGAACATCATAGGATTTAAATTATCCTAAAACCATAAGAAGCTCACGAAGACGCTCCCCAAGAGAGAACTGACGTACTTCACAAAACAAACTCTAGGTATATATCCCCTCGGAGAACACCTTTCGTAATTAAAATTTCATATTCACTCTTTCTAAATATTCAAGAGGGTTTCAACTATCCTAAAATCATAAAAGACTCACGAAAACGATCTCCAGGAGAGAATTAATTTTAGAGGGAAAAAAGAGGGGAAAGGATCTATATTAAAAAATCAATACCAACGGGGCGAGGAGGGGGGATCTATATTAAAAAATCAATTCGAAAGAGAAGAGGTAGGAGAGGATTTAAATTAAACGATCAATTATTAAATCCGGACGTCCCAACACTTGCTTCGCAAAACAAACTCAAGATATCCCCTAAAAGACTACCTTTCGTAATAACGCCGCCCCCCAATCCGAAATCGCACGCTACGCTTAAACTAAAATAACGCTTTGTTTATCATTCAAAGAAAATAATTTATATTATTCAAACAATAAGATCAATATTAAATAAATCCCTTTATTTTTTTCAATTTATCAATTTAATAATATATAAATATTTTTTTATTATATTTTTAAAAAAGCCATATATGTATATATTCAATATATTCATATTATTTCATATTAATATATTGTATAATATTTTGATTTTTTAAATATATTTAATTAGTTCCAAATAAAAATATATTTTTATTTCGATTCCATAAATTTATCGATATAATATATGGCCTCAAACACATGGCAATCGAATTTGAAGCCAACCAATGTAGACTAGATTCAATTAGCATCTATATATTTAATCAATACTATTCTGATTAATTTAGGAATCAAATCAAGGGAATTCCAAATATATACAATAGTTGGGCCCTACTGAGCTTGTGGTCTCCAGATCAGTGACTCATGCCAATGCCAATGCAAACACATGCTCGATCAGAAGCAAAACTGTCGTTCATCACATCAAGAGCTGACTGCTGAATGTGGCATACAACAACGCAAAATTGCCCCC